CAATTAATCTTAAAATTTCCGCCCATTTACAAAATTTAAATAAAATTCTTCTTATGACTTAATGGATAAAAGTTTTCAATGCTAAGAGACAAAGTATGGTAATTTTACTTAAAGTCATTAAGGTCAAGCACCTCCAAATTATAAAAGTAATTTTTTATGTTTAAAATCATTTTATAAAAACAGCTCTCAATGTTTTGTTATAATTATTAATCTCAAAAATATTATATCTAGATCGGCTTTGTATTTCCTTTTTATAAATTTTTGTGTAAGAGTTTTCTGAGTATATACTTTTTTAAATAGTGTTCATAAGATCAATACGTGTCCATATCTTATATTACCTTAAACAATGTTCCATCAACACTCAAAAACTTTTAACTTTTACGAAACGCTGCAAGTAAAATTGCTCTTTCAAATATAACCTCGCCTTTTAAATTGCAAGACTCGACAATCAAGTGATGACAGACCGACATCGATCTGACATTCTGTGTTAGAACCATCACAATAGGGCTTGTTAGAATTGTGCGTTACGGACACGTCAGAACGAAAGGCAGAATCTCATACCATCAAAGCATTACTTCCACTTAAAACGATTCAAATACACAATCAAACCATTTGCAAACTCGAGATAAAATATGACAGCTCATTAATAATTTCTGTATAAACTAAGCGAAAAAACCGTCAGGTAAATGAATTATTTAAAAATTCCATAACATTATGACCGACATTTACCAATTTATGTAAACAACGTGTTGATTTATTATTCATTGTATTACAGCGCATTGAAAAATTAATTTTCAGCAAAACAAAAGCCGGTCCATTCCCATATTGTTGTTGGTAACCTTTTAGATATTCAATGCGTAATTTAATAAAGCAACCGAACAATGAACACTTGAGTATGTAAAACGCAAAAAAAAAGCAGACAGTTTTTGGGGTTCCGTCTCTGCAAATGAAGGAAAGGACCCTTATAAGGACGAGATATAGTTTTGATGCTTGTGTTTATTTCAAAATCAAAAAAATTTGTTCAAAAATACCTCGACACTAGTAATGATACAAGTATGAGTGGAATCAATAGTTTTAATAGTGCTTTTTATTTAAGCAATTCCAAAAACTTTTCAAACAGCATATTGACTTTTAATAAAAAATGTCACTTTCCATACTTATATTCAGTGACGAATTCTGTTCCTCGTTATATTTATTTACTTGTTTATTAAGAGATAAGTGAAACTAGAAAAGTAAGAAAAATATTTATTCGGAAGTATATTTATGGAAGACATGCGTTGTTATTATTGTAAGCGAAAAATGACTGAGTTTCCTATCTGTTCTAAGAAACAAAAGATTACTTAATATGAAAGGAAATAGTCCTTCATAAAGTAATACAGCAAATGTAAATTATTTTGTGGATGTAGTGTGAAAGAAAGTTACCGTAGTTAATAGGTTCCATACTTCAAATATAACAAATTTAAAGCATCTATATTCCACGAACTATGCTTTACGTTAAGGTGTTTTAGGCTAATAGGTATTATCTGATCAGTCGAAACCGAATACAGGCTCAATTACGTTTCCAAAATCATTAAATTAATTCACATCAAATACGTAATTTTAATTTATTTCGAAAATTAAGATTATTATACAAAATTAATTGTCGACTTGTTATGTTGGAGTGAAATCACGTGTGATAACGAACTCAGCGCGAATCAAGTCACAAAATAAGTATAAAGTTGTTTGTTTGGACTCAATACGTATTATGGACTGCTATGCTAAAAAGATTGAATCTTTTTGATATTGATGGGTAAAATTGATTAAAAAATATATATATTTTGTTTTATAAATAAACTATTATAAATTAATTCAATAATTACACTATAATTTATAAAAACTGAGGTATTTTTGATTGTTTGAAATACTACAATAGATAATGTACATCAACACTCAAGATGACACAAGAAAATTTTGATATTAACTTAAGTGGCGTTGTAATAACATATTTTATCATATTAACACAGTGGTATAAATATTTTCATTCGAATACGCTCCATACAATATCCTAGCACATCTAACAAACCACATATGTTTACGTAATTTTACGTTCGAGCTCTTGTTTTCCGGACTGCTCGGCGGCAGCCATTGTGACTGTTATCACGTCCAAAACTTCACGAACCAACAGCTTTATATTTCCCCATTGAATTATATGAGACCAACATCTTTTGTCCAATTTTAAAAGCTTTGAGTTTTTGTACTATCAGAATAAATTCCCGAGAGCCCACATCTATTTCATTGCATTTTTTTATCGCAAATTCTGAATAAATAATTTAGATCTAACACGTAGAATTACAACATAAAATGAATAAAATTATAATCAATAATTCATCGTAATTACCAGTAATTTATAAAATATTCAATTAACTTCGAAAGCGATTATTTCAAATGAGAAAACGTTTTGGTCGTAAGAAATAATAATGGTTTATTTAAACAATTACTTCGCATCAAAGTGTTTCATATTTAATATGTATTTTGAAAATACTTTTATAATTAAAATAAAAGCTGTTTGACGGACAATGATAAGACAAAACATAATTTTGGTAATATGTATTAAATTTATTTGTGTATTTTTTTATAAAATCCGACAAGCAGATACACGCCGGATAGCCTTTATTCTATATTATCCATTTTCCGCTTCTCGTATATCCATACAACAATACCCTTTGAAAGTGGGGTACTAACAAAGAGACAAGAATACAGAGAATATATAATCGGAACGTTTTGTATCTAATGGGCAATATCGCTTTGTCCTCGACTTCCACATTAATCAATACCGATACATAAATAATTTCCATCCATATTCCGCTTCATACTTCAAAAAATTTATATTGTTAAAAAATGTAATGAAGTAAATTTATATTTTCCGGTCTAAAATAAATCGATTCTATATTTTTGATTCAGAATCAAAAATTGAAGAAAATTTTTAGCTGGAAAAGATTTAATACGCTGCAATTTTAAAGTAAACAGCCTTTGTGTTCCGCACGAAACTCCAGCATTGATCCCCTAGCGAAAACTTAAATGCTAGAGCAGGAAATTATGCCGACATATTTGCATATATTCATAAATCCCCTTTCGTTACAAAATATACCGAAAGCATAGTCGGTTGCCATAAATCAATGTAAGTAACGCCATTCTCTATACAACCCCCCAACTAATCCGTAGCACGCAAACCTATATTTTGCCTTTGTTCTTTCAAACATGTAAGATTTGTAGTTCTATTTTTCGAGCTAAGTTTGGTAATTCTACATAGTTATGCTATGTAATCATCTTTTATAGACAAAACACGAACATTGCTTGTGGCAGAAAAATATATCATGACTAAATAACCACCCTCGATATTTCCAATTTTCATGTCCCTTCGTCACTTATTCGGATACGATTAGAACGCCAAAATGGAATAGAAAACAATGTTTTTTTGATGAAATTATGTGTTCTAGTTATTTTATCGCGTGATTGAACAATCTTTTCATTAATAAATACAATAAGTTTGATTCTCATTTATCTGACGTAAACTTAATAATTTAACGATCTTTACGCCTACTTAACAAATATAATATTCAGTATGAGAATAGTAGCTCAATCAGCCCCCTTTTTAAAAGTAATACTTAATATGATCATTTTAAAGTTATATATTACGTCACAACTTTTTTCGTTGCCCTAATAGTTGACTGCTAAATACAGTAGACCAATATTTCTAATCAGACCTTCAATTCATATCTATTGTTGTTGTTGCTATTGTTTTTATGAATTCACTACATTTTTTGTATAAACATACACCAATTGCAATTCTGTTTATACAATATAAAACACAATCCTCAACGTTTCACGTTCCACATTAAGAAAAACGAATAACTCACATGTGATAAATGAGAATTTTATCTAGGTTCCATTAATATGGTGATATTTTTAAATTTTATTTTATGATTCCAATAATCGAATGACAATTATTCCACACACAATAATTTTTCATCTTTGATGTTCTAATTTAAATCAAAGTCTCGTTTTATTGTTTTGAAATGTTTAATGTATATGATTTTTTCCTTCTTTTTTTTGCTATAGTAATTTTATCATCACATAATAAAATATTAATTTTATACTGACTCACAATAACTAATACATTTCTTATCACTTTCGCAATGAGTACTTATAGTTTTCTGAAGTAAATATAAAAAGTACCTAAGCAAATGAAATTTCTGAAATAGTTTTTTTTTTCATTAAAAACCCAAAACGTAAAGACTACTAAAGTGGTTTTTATTTCAACTTGAACAAATTCTGGAATCCAAATTAAATTAAAACTGGGATGCCTTCGTAATACCAAATGAAACTTCCTAGTCTTTTTCTTCAAAAAAACGAATGAAAAGGGTGAGTCAAAATAATGGCGGAAAGTAATGCCTATATAATGAGATTCTATTTTCTTTTATCTGGTCCATTTTTGCTTTCTTTTATATATATAATTACACTTTATAAGGTCGGTTAATCGAATTAGCTAAAATAAAATTACAATAGTTCTCGTAAAAAATCTATATACACTAAATAGTATCCAAAAAAACAAATGCACGACATTGAAAAATTAATGTTGATGTATGTATTTGTCACATAAAAATAATGTAGACTAGTGAGAAGAATAAGAGAAAGTATCTTTAAAACAAAGGATTACTCGCTCTCTATACGTATTAATATTCGTAGATATTAAGTTATTCGTCATCGGCCTATCAGAGAAGGTTTGGGCATTAATCACCACGCTTGCTCAAGACGGGTTGGTGATTTCAAACTTATAATTGTAAAATTATAAGTTCAGGTTTCTCAGGATATTTTTCTTCACCTTCAATTAAGTTATTGTTAAAAATTAATATCACTCACATTAAGAACAAAATATTGATATTTTTGAATACACTTGATTTGCGACTTAATAAATAAGTACTAACCAAGTTAATCATATCAATTTTAATCTCTTTTCTCAGGGTCTGACGCAGAGCCAGTGTGGAAGCTCCAAGACCCTGGTTTTGACCAGGGCTACGGTTCAGAAAGATCTCCTGAAGAAGACGTACCAGCCATCGTGCCGCCGATATCTATCGAACAGTATGAAGCTGAGCTGCGAACTGTTTATCCCTTTATTACTGATGGTGAGTCTACTATTATACTAATATATATTTAATTATTTTCTAATTACTTTTATTTTAAAAAGTATGCTAATAGAAATACTGTATTATTACATTATGATTGACGTTACTTCTCATAAATTTGACGTTCTTAGTAAGGGATTATCTCATCTCTATCTAAAACCTATAAATTCTATTGTTCAGTGAAATTTGTATCTAAACTGCTTTAGTCCTTCCAAAGTTTACTCGGCTTACAAGAAGAATACAAATTGACTGACAGTAATTTTAAAGTATTGTACGTATTATATAAATAACAATAAGCGTTCGTGACGATAAAGTTTTGAAATCACAGACAGACTCTTCCATTCGTAACTCTAAAGTTTATTTCTAAATCAAAGTTTACGTATTTATGTCTCAGCGTGTCTCAGAAAGTTGAATAATAATGATAAACCGCGTTAGTATTTTATAATACATTGATTCTATTCATATATGTATTATTTATTATACAGAAGATGTATCTGCTCCAGGCTCTATGAAACAAAAGTGACAATTTTAATGCAGTAATCGAGGTTAATTAAGTTTTACCCGCTGGGAAGTTTCATCCTTAATTCCATAGTCGTACTGAACGTCTTACATTATGACACCGATCTGTCTCTTAGAATATAAATGAATAAACATAAAAAAATTCTTGCTAGAAGTATGAATTAAATAGCTCTAATAAATCTTAATAAACTTCGTTTTTGTTACTTTTAAGCGAAGACGCTTAAAAATTAACAGAGTGATTTTGTTTTGGTTCTGATTTCAAAACTTTAATATTTTATATGTATTTGAAAAAAGTTTTGCTACTATAATTAATATATATTTTTTCCTTATATTAGTAATAAAATCAATTTATATTGTAATGTAAATTGTAAATTAAAAAAATCTTATAACTTTTAGAATAAAAGTATTAAATTGGTTTTGATTACGATACTTTTTTTCTTAAACAATTATTACTATTATGTAGCAATACATAAAAACTAATAATAAATTGTCAATTTTTGTCTAAAATTTTGAGAAACTATTATCCAAGTATTTTTAAATTTGAATAAAAAAATGTGAATTCTATAATATCCTTGTTGCAATGATAAAAAATAATACTAGATAAAATTGAACTCTAACTGAATTAGTAACAATCTTTTTGGAATTTTATTTTTTCTATCCTTATTAAAAAATATGAAGTTTTTTTAACAATTAACTTATTGTTAAGTATGATACGAGTATTACACACACTATAACAGTTACTATATACATATATAAGCGCATTTACTTATAAAGCGGGTATAAAATAAAATCACCCTTAATCTTTTTACCATAAGTAACTCAGTATTTATAACGAACCATTAAAATACATGAACTATGTAATTATTTAAAGTCATTGTTATAAACTAGTTTACTAAAGGGATGATTGTTTCAATATGATATTATCGGTCAAGCACCTGGTACCTGGTATATCTTGGATTACTGCTTAATGATCTACAGTCGGAGAAGCTGCCACTGCTCAATCTAAGTCAGATAACTAGGTCAAGACACTCGTCTAATAATCCATCGCTTGTTTCCAATCGCGATCATTTCATAAATGACTAGCACTCATCTATGTCTGTGTCCCCATATCTAGTTTGACGCTGCGTGGAATTTTCTCCATTTCACAATAAATCTATCTGTTTCTCTACCATGATCGTTTAAAATCCATCATTATTTGATTTAAATTCAAGTTAATATACAAAATAGTATTGAGAAATAGAAAACACAGTACTTTAAATTTTTTTTTTTTTTAGTATTAGCTCTCACTATAAAATTCAAAATTATGGAACAATTAAAAATTAAAGGCCTTTCGTACTTAGTTAAAATATGTATGTTTGTTTTTATTTGTCTAAAATAGAAACCGTTTTTGCGAAATTACAATCTTTTGTGAATTCTACAGATACAATTGACGTTTCTAGTTGTTAAGGTGTTTTATAAGAGCTTTACGCGTTAATTATTACGCTATAAATAATACTAATAACCTTTCCACTTTAGAAAGAACATATAGTAAAATATTCCATTGTAATAATTATTTATTATAAATTATTATTTTTTTTTTATGTTAAAGTTGGCAAACAAGCAGACGGCCCACTTGATGGAAGGTGGTTACCGTCACCCATGGACATCCGCAACATCTTTGTTGCGGCTGCGTTGCCAACCTTGATTTTTTTAGGGATAGGGAGGGGTGGGAAAAAGGAAAGGTAGGAAAGGGTGGGAATAAGGAAAGGGCAACCGGCTCTCTCACTCATCGGACGAAACGCAGCACTAAAGGCTACTTCACGCCGATAAATATAAAAAAATATATAAAATCGACAAGACTAAAGTATTCATGTATTTTACGGTTAATTGAACTCTTTTTTTTTGCTAATTACTAATCTAGGTAATAAATACTGTAACGCAAGACATACACGTATGAAACTTTTACCAGTGATGCGTAGCTTAAGGATGAATTGTTGGTAATTTTTATAAATTTTCAATATCGCCTGAGTTACTTGGCATATCATTATACATACAGCCATTTATATTTCAAAATGTCTAATAGTTTGGGGTGACGTCATTCGTTCGCTACGCGACACGATCACGAATCTCTGTTTGCCTTTGGCATATATACGAGAGGTCGAGCCGCACACTGTCCTTATATCAATAATATTCTAGCGTCAAATTTTTGCAGAGTGCGTAACAGCTAACTACATACCTTTTTATTTATAAAATAAACACTATACGAGAGCTGTTGTCACAACTCCTAGCATAAACCTTGCGAGATATGAGTTATGTGAGTATTTAACCTCTTATATAACCTTTATTATATTAGTGTTCTACGTAGATAAATCTGGGAGTGTAAAACAATAATATTCAAGCTTAAACAAACAACCTGCAGTAAAGCAAGAGAACAACTGTAAATCCAGTGCTGCCTAATACATTTAGCCACGCCTCTGCAAACCTCAGTTTCAGAGGTAAACTTACTATATAAACTAAATTATTCAAGTATAAATTCACAGAGAAAGTCCACATCTCGGTAAACTAATAATTATAATTACGGGTACAATTCCACTTTTCACCGAATTCAAAAAAGGATTAATTTATATTACCTATATTAAATAAGGACTAATTTGGTCTTCATTTTCATGAAACTGTTTCATACTTTCATATTGTTTAATTAAACTTTTTTATTGTTAATAAAACTACGTAAATTTATAAATTTTATTTATAGATATTTTATGACTCGGATCAAACCGCATAGGCAAAAAGCGTTTAATATTTTCTTAACGTTATTATACTCAGGGGTTTGAATTAAATAAACGTGCTCTCAAATAAATTAAAACTCCCTGAGAATGCAGGAACTACACTCGTGAGTAACAATGTGATATGTTTCGTTGAAATTGAGAAAGCTAATACCATTAACATTCGCGAAAGGCCTGAAGCGGTAGATATAACTGAAAATGATTACAGTCGAAACACGACAGAGGATAGACAAAGGCACACCTTTTATCTTTATTGTCAGGAAACCTTATGACAGTCATTTGCCTCTGACGCTCCGGTATACATTACCTGAATGCAAAAAGGCTTTTCTCTTTTTCGGTGCTAAATGTTAATATTTGCACAAGATTTATCGCATATTTTATTTTGAGTTTTTTTGGGTTTTTCTTTGCATTAGGTTTGATAGCCTAGTTATATTATGAAAATGTGTGTATTGCCAAATCACGCAAAAACCACGAAAAAAACCGTGTTTGAGGTTCTGTTTCGTATTTAAATGAATACTCTTGAAAGTCTTAGTTTCAGATTCATCTTTCAATGTTCAACGTTAGTACCAATAATGTCCTACAAAATGTTTGGAGCCATTATTTATAGTTTTCAAATACAGGTTGATACTTAAATGTCGCCATTACAAAATTACAATGGTTCAGTATTATAATTAATGACAATCAGTCATAACAATACTTCTAAGGATTATAGTATATTATAATAATTAGTATAGCACGGATGGTGCCACTGGTGCTTTATCTCTAAAACAAGTCAAATCAAAGACAAGATTTAACGTCACTACCTGAAATATTTTTTTATAATTATTCACCCAATCTATAAAGGGCATGTTAGTATTGTTGTTAATGTAATTTTTATTGGATTTGAATTGATGATTGATTTTCAATGTGCCCTAAAAAACATTGATGACAACAATTTCCTTACATATTCCAAATAATGTATTTGTATAGTACAAACAAAATGTATTGTGTTACTTTTTTTTATATTATTTCTAGAATTACTTTGTTTCACATTGTCCAACTAGTCCACTTTTTTTAAAGCTTGTTTTACTATTGTGTTATTAATATGAGTTCTTTTTTTATTATAAAATGTTACAAAGATTTTGTACTGTACGCAAAAAAAAAAAAGTATGAACTAAATTAACACAAAATTGCGCGTATATTTGCAACATGAAAACAATCTAAAATTAGCATATCAATTAATTTATTACAAATAGCGGAGACACGGTAATTTCACTTTATTTAATTGTTACTGTTCTATATTAAATTATATTGGAACCAAAATACACGGTGAATCCATCGCATACATTAATTAAAATGATTATAACACTTCGGTACCATGAGCGGCATTTTTCCACTCTGTGATATTATAATATTAATAATAAACATATGTAGTCCTTTTTATATTTTTAAAGTAAATTATATTATTTTAAATATAAGAAGCATGAAGCGGTGCTTGCATGCATAGGTATGCATAGGTAACACGAAATAATACAGTATGGTTGGTCCAGAACTTTAAGTAGCTGGAATAATAACGGAACTAAAAGGTAACTCGCTTAATGTCGCTAGGCACGCTATTATTACTCGGTTTTGTTGGTATTTGTATACCAAGTACTTTCATGCTTTCGATTCTGAACGTTTTGCATACAAAATGCTCGTTTGTGTTTCCTTTTTAATTTTTTATTCATCTCCAGGGCTGCG